CGAAAAAGAGGCTTGCAAAAATGTGTTAATGTATGGTGCACTGCAGTATTCAAGTGGTCTACTGCTCATAAACATAACGCGCCGAAAGAATTAAGAGAGAAGGGAATGCAAAGCACTACTATGAGAGGAGTAGCAGCTTGACTGAATTTCAGTACTGTGGTTGACAAATTCTGGTCCCAACTGTTCGCAATGCGGAACTTGTGAAACACCATACTCTGGTTTAGGCTACTTAGTCCTTAAAATGTGTGGTGCCTAGTACAATTTTGTAGAGTTCCTGATGAAAAGAGAACACGGGAGTTTTCAGCATTCAGTTTCCAGGTTCATAGCAATGTTCATCAAGGTCCACGCCATTTTAAAAGTTCCGTGTACTATTAGCACTTTGTGTTACAGATGCATGCCATTTCAAAACCGTTCAAAGCTATTTCTCCCCAAACGGTTCTGATTTGCATGAGGTTAAGGGCTAACGAAGGATTTCCTAATGATAAGGCAAGGCTGCCCATGAGTAGAGTTTAAAGGGGGAGAAGAAATTTGAGTACAGCCTTTAATTTGCAATGATGAAAATCCCATTGGCTGCATCTGCCAAGTTCTTTTCTTCAACAGTTAAGTAATCTTTCCCAATTTCAGGCTATACCTTTCAGGATGGTTGTATAGTTGAACTGCCATCTCGGGTATATCTTCATATGCACAAGCCACAAAGGTTCAGTGAGCATTACTAAAGGAGCTACCTATGCCTAGAGAAAAGTTTCTGGAGTGGGACATTTGAACATTCAGACAAACACACAAAACCTAGGGTCAATATAAAAGGCTTGTTGTTCCTATTCTTACAAACACTCATTACCCACCCTGCTGTGTTTCCATACTTTTTAGAGGTGTTGATGGATTGAGTTTATTATTGTTGGAGTTTAAATATACTCTTACAAAGGTTATTGATGCAGTTGTTGCACTAGGCTTGCAGCTGCTCCATCAAAAACAGAAAATATTCAGTTGGACATTTCCATCAGGCAATGGGAATGCTTTACACACCAAGATATGACCAAAGACAAATAACGGCTCTTTGGAAACCATTATTCTTACCACTATCCTATCAAACTCAAATTTGCAGAATTAATGATAATGTCCAAAGGATAAAGCATAATGATTGTTTTTTTGTACTATTTTTAAAACTTTTCTTCAAAGTGTCTCAGCTAAACGAATGCAACAGATTAATCCGAAGCAAGAACTTAGTAGCTGGTTTAAATACTCAGATCGATTACCTACTGTACTAAAATCAAACAAGCCTGTTGGGCCAAATGGTAATTTCATTTGAGGCACTATGTTATTACGAATTCTGCTTTTAATCAAATAGTTAACCAACCATAAATGAAAAGCGATTCAAAAAAATCATAATGATCTGTGGTGTTGGAGCAACAGAATGGGTCATTTTAAAGAAACTCTTTAGCTGGAACAGAATAGTCTGAATGAAGAAGCCAGAGTAAAACAATAACACTATTAAAAACTTTGATGCTTACTTAGAGCATGTTATTTAAATGTTTCCTATTTTCTCTATATTTTATCAATTCATAAACACCTATTTTAAACCCACTTAAAAGAAATTCAATCTTAAAACAGCCTATGCGAAAATAGTTTTATGGGGTCAAAACCACATTCCCGTCCTAAATGTGTCATGTTGGTTATTACTCAGAGCAGTGAAAATAACCTAATTGCATAGCAAAGTTTCTAATGAACGAGAAGGACAGAATGTTAAAAAAAAGCTTGAGCTTTCGAGCAGAGGAAAAGTTGTTTAAGGTGAAATAAAGAAATATGGCGGTAATGTGGGTAACCCCGGTGGTAAGCTCCTGAACTGCACGGATTGTTCATTCACGTTATTCAACGCTGCACCTACTTAATCGTGCAGGCAATTTCACCAAGTTTCCCAGGCTCCTCCAACCTCACCTGCCTCCAGAATCAAGCCTTTCATTTATACCTACAATTAACACAACCAGCCTGGCCCAAGTTGGAGGAGATGGTTTTCGTGCTTTTGTTCTGTTAACCAGACGTTTCGTGCTCCAGCACTTCAGTGCTTTCACTGGTTGTTTGCCAGAATAAACAGATGGGTTTGGTTACTTTCGCCTTTGTTTTTCACGCACCACTGAATGAGACTATTTTCCGCGCCGAGTCATCATTGTAAAGTCCCAGCCGCAAACTCAACAGCGACAAGGTTTGCAAAAAAAAAATGTTGTTAGACGTAAAAACTGACATAGATCACTATTTCATTTATTCTCGGTCACAATTGCAGCTGTGCGTTTGCTTCTAGCATTTTAGGACTGTTTCGGATTACTTTCATAGACACAAGAGGCGTGTACTGTATGTGGAGGAATAGAAACTGAACTTTTGATGATGATGATTTTATGCATCACTTTTTCTTTCACCTGGGTAACAAGGTACTGTATCAGGGGGATGAAATAAGTTCTGGTAAAATAGCTAGACACAAGGGATATCTACAGCACAGGCAAATAATTCAACAAATCATCAAATTAAAATGGCATATTTTGAGTCAAAATACTTTTACATTATAATATTACAATGTAAATACAGATTTTACACTTATTTAACTGCACTTGAAACAAATATTCAACATTAATGTTGATTGTAAAATTTCTATAGCAATAACTCTCACTATCAAAGAGGAGGAGGCCTGTCTTTCTGCTTTCAATCCAATCAAATGCCTGTGTTCCACTTACACCCTGCCACTCTTACTGTAACTGTCCAATAGCATCTGGGCACAATTAATCCTTCAATACTGTGGTAAGTTATAAAGTTTAAAAGATACAGATCTTCAGAGAAAAAGCAGAAAGCCATCATAATCATAGACAAATGGAATACCAAGATCTGGATATATTTAATGCTAATTGTCTTAATCTCTCTTTGTTGGCCATATCCAAATGATAGAACAGAGGCTGATGTTATTAAATATAGCAGTCATCAATAACGGCAGAGAGCCAAATCAAGCAGTATAGAGAAGACAGAATGACAGAGAGAGACCATCATGTACTAAAGGAAAAGAACATGTTGTTCAATATCAACCAGGCAGATTCTGCATAGCTTTGACATCATCACCCACCATACTGTCCTCTACATCATTGTATAAAGCAACACATCATTTTGCTTTACATGTGACAATAACATGCGCTTTTTAAGCTTGTCAAAGGTCCTATTTTTTTAGCAAAAGCCCGTCATGTCACAGCCTTTCCCCCCCATCTCTCTAACCCCTTTTCCCAACCATGTGATGCTCGTCTTCCCTCTGCCTTGGAAATCACCAGCTACCACTGAGAGATACTCTTTTGAATGAAACAAGACTAAATGAAACAAACAGTGATATAAGTAGTTTATCTCATCCAAGTCTTCCTGTTATTTAACTTCCTGCTTGATTTGTGTTGCTCATTGTGGCCTGCATTATGTTCTGCTGTGCATGTTTAGTTGATTGCCTGCCTTGAAAATAAACCTGTCCAGTAAAGGCAGCTGTTGGAAAAGGGTGCAGGGAAAGACCATCAATGACACAGCAAGGGCTGATGCGCTCATTGTTTCAGAATTATGGTGCAACACTATAATACTTCTAAATCTTAATGTCTCATTCAGTTGCAAGAATGAAATAAATTCCTGCTGGAAACAGTATGGCAGTGTAACAAGAAACTTTAAATAACAAAAACAAAACCTTACCAAACTCAAATCAACACCCACCTTTAAGACAAAAAATGGAACATTCTGTTTTTCCAATTATAAATATCAGCCTTATGCAAGACTGTCTCCATCAGTCCAACCCAGGAAAATCTGGTATGTTTTCCTATTCTCCATTCTGCACTAGTGGCTCTGTGGCTAAGGATCTGTGGGAACCGGCTTGAAGGTTGCTGGTTCCCGGCAAGCAGAGGAATCCTACTCCGTCGGGCCCCTAAGCAAGGCCCTTAACACCAAATGCTCCAGGGGTGCCATATAAATGGCTGACCCTGCGTTCTGACCCCAAGTTCCTCTCCCTGTCTGTGTGTCTCATGGAGAGCAAGTTGGGGTATGCAAAAATAAATTGTATATGGCCAATAAAGTGATCTTTTCTTACACCTCCACTTTCTGTCATAGCTGTTTATTTTAATAAGACAGGGCTCTTTAGAGCAGGATACACAGCATGTGTATTACCTTTACCTATGCACTGGACATATCCACAATATCAACTAATCTTTTAAAGAACTGCATACTACTGACCGACTTTAAACACTAAACCAGTAGTGGTGATACAGAAGGGGTATCACCACAGCCTGCCTGCTCCATCCCAGTTTCTATATCTGCAGTTATTAGCAAGGCCACTCTGGCTATCGCAGACCAAGACCAAAGCACCTGCATTTATCTTGGTTGTTCCCAGATTCAGCACCAGGACCAGGCTCACCGTTTCCTCTCTCCCTGCAGAGCCTCCCGTCAGCACATTTAAATGTCACAAATGAAGCACAGACAAATGCATCGAGCCATCATTTGCGCTGTCTGTAGGGGGAAAAAACTTGGATTTGACTAACTGCTCTGCATTCTTGCCCTCAGATGTATAGAACCTATGGTTCTCTCCTTAGGTGTGACTTCTGGTTTCTGTCCATTCATAAATTCCTTATCCAAGCACATTCATTACTCAAATTCCTACAGCCTGTAATTTGTCAATTGTTTCTCACCTCTCAAGATGGTCTGTTTGTATCCACTACCGCTATTGTTTTTTAAAGAATTTAAGTACAACTCTCCTCTTCTTAATGCATGCTGACCATCCCTTACATTATTGCCATACAGTTTAGTTCTAATTAACTACTCTATACTCAATCTGAGCACCTTCTTGTTCCCACCTTAAAAATCAAGAAGAACTGTGTAAGGTTAATAAAAATCACAAAAGATCCAATAGTTTATTTTCAAAGTTAAACAAAAAAGAAAACTGATGTATGTCATTAGTTGAAGAGGCAGTATGTCAGAAAAGCCAGTGAAATATGTGGCAAACTTACTGTAATCTTTGTAGCTTTATTCAAAGCCTCCACCCAATTCCTCAAATCGTCAGGATCATTGGCTTGAAGGAAATAGCGTCTAGATAAGGCATTGATCACTGCAAAACAAGACGACTGTGTTGGTCACAATCATGAGTCATGATGCAGTAAAGAAAATTTCTTACATCCTAGTTCATTTTACACATGATGCTGTATTAATACTGCAACTACTGTATACTACCTTCAGCATTGCTACAACATTAACCCACAGTCTCTGTTCACACTCTCAATCAGAGTATTCCAGCAGATGTTACCATACATAGACAAAGCAGGGTAGTTTTGGAGATGTTGTCTGGGTGTCATGGCTGCCATCCTCAAAAAACTCAAGGTAAAGTAACACTGCTCCTCTCCAGTTGAGCTTCTGTACTCACCAAAGCAGAATTCAGCCTTCGGTTTCTGTTTTACTGTGGCTTCGCTGACCTTTATCACATAAGGAAGAAGAGGTAAAGATAAAGAGTTCACATGTATACAGCACAGTACTGTCAGTACTGCTGAGGCAATTACTGCTACAACTATAATTCATACACCACTACTACTGTATGTGTAATGATAGTGATATACATCTGATTGTTTTACAAGATACAATAAATCAAATGTATTTATTGTATTAATAATCAAATAACTAACTCTTTTGTTCATTCCTCTCAATAAGGTATAATTATAATCAGCACTACTGTAAGGCCATCATATTTAATGTAAATGAAGACTCACTCTTTTTTTCTTCAGGACATTACAACGCCATATTGTATCAATATCAGTCTTTTGTAAATTAGGAGGAGCAACATTGGCCCTGCACACTACATGGAATAAACAATGGATACTGCTGTGTTTGAGACTGCTCTGTTCTGTGCTTGGTGGTGTTCCGCATATGCATTATCTATGATTTAAGGATATTTATTGCAACAAGAAAAGCTTCCTACATTCTCAAAGGTTTCAATGAGTTTTTGGTTTAACCAAATTGAAAGGAAACAGGTTTTACTTCTATACCTTGGAGATGTATTGCAACTGAAGATTCCCCACGGGCTCTGTTCCACAGGGCAAATTCTGCAATTAGATTTTTAAAACAGATTGTGACAATGATATTTCTTTTGACTTAAAGCCACATCTTAAATCTGCAAGTAGATCAAATGTTTAAAAGTAAAACTTTAATTTTCTGGGTACCATTTCAGAAATTCTTGCTTTTCTGGAAAATAAAAACCTGGCAGTGAACTGCATTTTTAGACCTGTTACCCTATGATAGCCTCATCTGAATACCTGAGAACTTTAAGTGGAACCTCAAGGGATAAACAGCTGTGTTTTTTTTTTTTAATTTTCACCAAATAATTAACCAAATTCACCAAAAAATTAACACCATATAATCAGTTTCCTAAAAGGGCAAAGCTCAGTGTTTGCCCTATCACTTTGACAGACCACATGGGACACTGTGGAAAGACTGGATAGTACTGTGCCCTTCATGGCACAATTACGCAATAAGCTCCATTGACAGTTTGTGGTCCAGACAAAAAAAAAGGCAATACTGTCTGAACTTTTATTAGGCTATTTTTGTCACACTTCCTTTTCTGAAGTATTTTGGTACCTCAGTCTCTTATAAATGCGTTTACTACTTCTCCCATCTTGTGTAATTCAGAATGGACCTCATACTTATTACTTATACAAATGACAATCTTTCGAAGTTATTTCCTCAAGCAGGTCAGGCCAAACTGAAATCTAAGCGTACCATGTAAAGTGAACTTTGCACCAGGAAAAAAGAAACACACATTGACCTTTTATCATTTCCTTCAGAGCAACAAGAATAAAGAACATGAATTTATCTCTAGATTTTTGTTGCTGTTGTGTGATTAAAATATTTTGAGAATTTGTGTCATTTAAGCTAAAAGAGTATCAAAACCCATTTGGTGGCAAGCCTATCAGATGATTGACTTGTACAATGCAAATGTGTTGTACTGTATAATAAGTTCTTCCACACAACCGAAACATGAAAACAAATGGAAGCTGGCCAAGCAGGGTGCAGTGTGTTGACTGCCGTTTATTTCCACCACAGTGCAAAGTTTTAAAGATGTTTTTGCCTCACACAGTAGAGGTGCCTTATGCCTTATGCTGAAAGGGAAAGACTTCATCACGCCAATTTGCCATTTCAGCCCACTGTCACGCCTCTGTTTTGAGTGGGTGCTATAAGCTTTACAGTATATACTGCCAGCTTAGTCAAGATGAGACTGAAGCGGGGTTCTGAGAAGCAATCCTTTTAGATCATTTCTAAATGACATGTACTGAAAACATTACAATGGGCAGAGCCTCAGAAGAGGCCTTTTTGATGTGGTGAAATCAAATAACCAGAAGGAGCAAGAATAAAGTAAATAAAAAAAGAACACACAGACACTCGGAAAGAAAGAAACCAAAATCAAGTAGTCTTCTCAGAGACTGAGGCACAGTACCTGTGGGTTGTCCATGTACCAAAGCAGAGAGTTGACCTGTGTGTCCAGTATGAAGTACCTCCTCTGGAACTTGTTGCTGTTCTCATTTTCTTCAATATCCAAAAAGCCGCAGACACGCTTCTGTCGATCCACATAAGGCATTCCTGGCTCTCTCTCTCATTACCCTTTGTGTGGAGGAAAAGAGAGCATTGAATCAGGTCTTCACTTTAAAAGGTGCATTAATAAACTATGTGATAAATACCAGCCAGACACATTGGACATTGGAGGTTGGAGATCACTTATATAACAATGGATGTACAGCTACAGCCCACCTTCCTTCTGTATTTAATGTGCTACCAGAAAAGAACAAGAGAACAAGAAGAGAGATTTAACGCTATCAAGGCCTAGGCGCCTCATCTGCCACTGTATGCATGCCGTGAAACCTGCACCTAAACCGTGGCAAAAAAAGAAAGCAGAAAACTAAAAAATTAAATTATTAATTAAAATTAAAAACTCGTTTTCCCAGGGATCCCAACATTTACAAGCCATCAGTTCTCCCACCAAGCTGCTATTCCCTCTGATTTGCAGTAATGGATCAGAAGAACTACTGTAGGTAGGACAGTACAAGCTAGAGCCACATAGCTGCAATTATTGCATCATGTATTAAAAACCAAATTACAGCATGTGCAATTTTCCCACCATGCAGCACTGCGGTTTCAAAACTGACCCTGACATTATTTCTGTATATTGACACAATGGAAAAAGAACATTCCTTCTAAGTCTGCTTTCAACCTGATGCATTTAACCACCACACATGACCAAACAGCACCTCAGGTTGATAAACCGCAAAACAGCATGCCAGTTTTGCTCTCGGAAGCCAGGTATCATTTAAATATGCTGCTTACGCAAATGAATCCATTAACACCTTGTGGCAGAGGAGCATGCCAGTCTCGACAGTGTTGATAGTCAGGTCATGTACTGCAGACTTGACTAACCGATTGCTTTAGTGCAAAAATAAAACGCTTATCTTCCTTCTAATATTCAGTATAGATATATTGTTCAAAAGAAAAGCACTCAGCTTAACACTACATTAATGCATCTGTACCATTTTCATAAAGTGTAATAAACAGACCAATTTCAATTTGCAATCTTTTCTTCTTCATGAAATCTAACACCTCATTGGTAAGTGTGACTATACTTAAGATCTGCAACGGTCACTGGTCATTTTGCAGGAGTAACACTTATTATTTCAACGCAAAATACAACAAGCAATATTAATTCACTGCACTGTTTTCAGCATTTTTCAGTCAGCACATCGACTGTATACTAAGCATCTATTTAGGATGAGGTCATGTTACTTTAATAATGAGTACGAGAGGAACTGATAGTTAACTGACATAACACCGGCCCATCGCTTTAATTTGTTTGAGTGGCTCACCCTAATTTGAATCATCCCTTACAACTTAACTGGAAGAGAGAAAAGGCTGTCTTGCGTTTCCATTTTTCTGTAATACTTCAAGCAGCTGACAAAACATTCCAGTCCAAACTACAGTACGCTGCCGCCATGTTCAATGATTTTTAAGGCACCACAGCTGTCAACTCCATCGGCCTTGTTTAACAAAGAACGAGTCCACCATTTTATATTTTTTTGCATGTATTGTAGTCTCAGTTTGTAGCATAATTCACTTGTGGTACATATTCATTGAAAAGTGAACAAATTTAGCCTTTTACTCACCCAACGGACTGTTCACATTACCACTTTGTAATTGCACTCCCTGCCCATGCTGAAAATTATTAGCACACTCACACTTCATTCAATTGTTTCTGCACAGCACTCACATCGCACTCTCTCCCTTGGAATTATTGTACTTGCCTTTGCTGTAATTGTCAAGTACATGCGGTGACTTGAAATCATATTTGTTGTTTCCTTTTATATTTGCATTAACACCACTTTATACACACGGTACTCTACCCTGGATAATATTGTCGGATGAGCCACTGCTAGTCATAATAACTGCTAATGATGATAACATTAGGTTACCAGGTCTTGCAACAGGTATACTCTGCTCCACTACCAAGCCCATTAAAGAATATGAACTGTTACATTGCTGCTTTCTCCAATTTCACAACTTACCTCATCAACATATCAAAATAACTTCAGGATATCCATTTCAGGTTGTCAGCAAACCACATATGAAAGCCTCATCTTAAGAAATATTTTCCATTTTCAAAAGATAGATCTAGAAAAACCTAACTTGACATAAACTTTTTTTTCTGAGGATAAGTAGCAGGCAGGATCTACATTACCAGGTAATTAAATTGTCTCTGCATTCATCAGAAACTATGCGTAAAAGATCAAACTTGTAATTCAGCCCACGTTTCTGAGGCATATATGCAAGACCGACAGCTTTCGTAAGGTATAGTCACATCGACAGCTGTGGGCTGCAGTCATTTTCTACCATGCTTGTTTTCTCCGAGTGACCCCAATGCACTGGAGAAAGTTACCATCTCTGCAGAAATCTGAAATACCAAAGATGGAGACAAGACCCAAACCGAAATGGGTAGTTGTGAAATGAACTGATGACAACAGCGATAGCAATATGATACTGTGTGAGAAAACACAATGTCATAGTCTGTCTTTATTTCATAGTGGAACAGGAAGCCTGATACACTCAACTATCAAAATAACTTACGTAGATCAATGTATTAATAGATACTTACTCCCTGCTGAAAACCTTCCTGCAGGGACTGACTGAAAGTCACTCAAACTCATTATAAATTCTTTAATAGTTAACTATGTTGGAGGGGGAAGTGCTGATTCCCTATCTGAGCTTCTGGATAGAAACCAGCTTGCTCCAACACGTACTGTGCTTTTCAAACCTTGAACATGTTTTGTAAAATACAGAATCTATTGTTTAGGTGATCCGTTTTTACTTTTGCTAATAATCCCACTTTGCATTGTCTTCATTAATGAAACTACTGCTGGGTTGTCTCAGACTCCTTTGATGCATGTAATTGTGCTCAGAATTCCGGGGAGCTTGCAGCAGGCTAGCAGACTTGCACTCAATTCAAGTGTAGGCAGCTAACCACAATTTCTGTTTGAATGACATGAACAGAATATCAGTAAAGACTGTAATTTGGTTTAATACAGCAGACAGCACTCCTGACCTATATCCATGCTAGTTTTACATTTAAGTAGAATGCCATATTTCCTCATAATAATTTAAGATTTAGTTTAGGGGTAAGGGGTAAGTTTCAAATTAAAATAAGATTTAAATAAATTAAATAAGATTTAGTTCAGTTTAACAATCATGATGTTTGCCTTCTACCAAACAATATCACCATCTCAAAGCATGTTAAAACCAGGAGTATGAAATGTATCATCAAGGATGACGTTTGGAACAGATGATTATATGATCAATTACTTTGTAAATAAAATACTGAAAGCTTATGAACCTACTGGATGTCTGATCCAAGAAAAACCTCCATTAAAGGCTTCTTCTAAATCAAGATGATACAGTACATTTTCCAGAAAGTTTTTAGCCAAAGAGATGCTAAAAAAATCTTCGTATGGGTTCCCTAGCAGTGAAATCGGTACTTACCCGACCGAGACAGTGACGGCAATTTAAAGGTTTTAATGCATTGGGATCTAGTGAATAGGCAATGCGTTCCATCTGCATATAAAATGCAGGGCATTGTAAAATAAAGACCCAAAGCAATGAACGCTAGCAATGTTGGCTGGGTAATATTTTTAAACATCTTAAACCACATATTAAAGCTTGTTAACATTCCCAAAAGAGGTTTCCCTTTCAAAGAAGCTTGTCATGACCTTAATATGCCTGATAAGTGCACAACACGTCTTCTTGTTAATCTCAGCACTCAAGTCTTGGTAAATCTCTTCCAACTTCATGATCTACAGTATCCAGATGTACAGTAAGTGCAAGTGAGGGAAGGATGAGGCACATACAGGTAGGAGACGCTCAAAAACATCATCTCAGTGCAGTTTCCCTGGAAAGCTTTAATAAAAATAGTAAACTATTTTATATTGCACCTTTAAAAGAGGCTTCTCCAAGTGCTTTACAGTAAGAAAACAAAATGAGAGGAGACAGAAGAATTATACAATTACAGTGAGAGTCTGGAATACTGTAGGAAAGCAAAGGAGCAGACAGGACCAATTAAATAAATGCCCTTCTAAAGAAGAAGGTTTTGAGTCCCGAGCTGAAATTGCTCAGGAAAGGTGACTCTCCAATATCTTTAGGGATAGAAATCCAGAGTTTTGGGGCATAGCAGGAAAAGGCCCTGTCACCTACAGTATAGAGCGCACACAGACTTGGAGACAGACAGGAGACGAGAATTAGACAAGTGAAGGTTGCTACAGTAGGTGGGGAGTAGAATAATGGTACACCAGACAGGTACTGAGGTGCCAAACCACGTGGAGCTTTATAGAGGAGCATGGAGATTTTGAGGTTGACACAAAACCTGATAGGAAGCCAGTGCAAGATTTCCAGGATAGGAGTTGTGATCACTTGCACGTGACCTAGTCAGGCTGGCTGCCAATTCTGAAAGCTTGTTCGGTGTGGATTAAGATACCCAAACTAGAAAGAGTATTACAGTAATCAATTCGAGAAAAGAAGGTTCTAACTTTTTAACTTGCTTTTCAGCTGCTATAAGAGACAACATAGAATGTAGTCTAGCAGTATCTCTGAGCTGGAATATTGTGGGTCAAATTTCAAGCCTGGATCAAATGGATCAGGGCTATCCACCAACAGGTTTACTGCATTGGTTTTACATACTGTAGTTGACAGGAGGTGCTGAGAAGCATGACTTCAGTCTTCCGGAGTCATCCTGTTTTTTTCCCTCAAAGATGCAATTAGTACAGAGACAGACACACCAGTGTCAGGTTTAGTATGGGCATAGATGTGAGCATCATCAAGCATAGAAATGATCATTTACACCATGTAATCTTAATAGCTGACCAAGTGGGAACATGTAAGTGCTGAAGAGTAGGGAGCCTAGTATCGAGCCCTGAGGAACACCAAACTTCAAAACTGAAACCCAGTGTCAGCAACCAGTAAGGTAAGACTTGAACCATTTAAGAGCAATGTCAGAAACTCCAAACACAATCTCAAGATGAGAAAGTAAGATATTGTGGTTAATAGTGTCAAAACTGGCAGTCAAGTTGAGC